GCAAAGAGAGATCATATACAGAGAATAGGAGAAATATAAAAATGCTTATTCTCCTCCCCCCTCATTTGCAACGTGTGCCCTCCTCATCCCTTCTTACTCCTTACTAGAGACTCAAGTACTGACCAAGTTGCATGTACCAACATTCTGGGTTTAGGTTTATCCCTGTGATGATCTATGACTTCTAATTGATTGGAACATTCAGACAGACCTGGGGCCATATAACTGAATCCAGACCAGCGACCCTTTGTTCCCTCCTCTATGCCATTTATCCCCTTCTACATGTTACTGAATCCCACTCAATATCCTCTCCTACACCTTTCTGAATCCAAACCTGTACCCCTCCTCCACCTTACTGAATCCGACCCTGTATTCCCTCCTCCACCTTACTGAATCCGACCCTGTATTCCCTCCTCCACCTTACTGAATCCGACCCTGTTTTCCCTCCTCCACCTTACTGAATCCGACCCTGTATTCCCTCCTCCACCTTACTGAATCCGACCCTGTATTCCCTCCTCCACCTTACTGAATCCGACCCTGTATTCCCTCCTCCACCTTACTGAATCCGACCCTGTATCCCCTCCTCCACCTTACTGAATCCGACCCTGTATTCCCTCCTCCACCTTACTGAATCCGACCCTGTATTCCCTCCTCCACCTTACTGAATCCGACCCTGTATCCCCTCCTCCACCTTACTGAATCCGATCCTGTATTCCCTCCTCCACCTTACTGAATCTGACCCTGTATCCCCTCCTCCACCTTACTGAATCTGACCCTGTATTCCCTCCTCCACCTTACTGAATCCGACCCTGTATCCCCTCCTCCACCTTACTGAATCCGACCCTGTATCCCCTCCTCCACCTTACTGAACTGCATCCCGTATTCCTCCACCCTACTGAATCTGACCCTGCATCCTCCCTCCACCTTACTGAATTCGGACCCTGTATCCCTCTCCTCCACCTTTTATTGATTCCACCTGTATTCTCCTCCCACCTTGTCACTGAATCACCCTGCTTTCCTCCCTCCACCTTTACTGCCGAATCCTGTATTCCTCCTCACCTTACTGAATCCGACCCTGTATCCCCTCCACTCAATCTTACTGAATCCCAACCCTGTATTCCCTCCTCCACCTTACTGAACCCAACCCTGTATCCCTGAATCTTACCCCTCCTCCACTGAATCCGACTCTGTATCCACTCCTCCACCTTACTGAACCTGACCCTGTAGCCCCTCCTCCACCTTACTGAATTTGGACCTGTATCCTCTCCTCCACCTTACTGAGTCCAACCATGTATCCCCTGCTCCACCTTACTGAATCTGACCCTGTATCCTCTCCTCCACCTTACTGAGTCCAACCATGTATCCCCTGCTCCACCTTACTGAATCTGACCCTGTATCCCCTCCTCCACCCTACTGAATCCAACCCTGTATTCCCTCCTTCACCTTACTGAATCTGACCCTGTAGCCCCTCCTCCACCTTACTGAATTTGGACCTGTATCCTCTCTTCCACCTTACTGAATCTGACCCTGTATTCCCTCCTCCACCTTACTGAATCCGACCCTGTATCTCCTCCTCCACCTTACTGAATCTGACCCTGTATTCCCTCCTCCACCTTACTGAATCCGACCCTGTATCTCCTCCTCCACCTTATTCCACTTACTGAATCCAACCCCGTATCCCCTCCTCAATCTTACTGAATCCGACTCTGTATCCACTCCTCCACCTTACTGAACCCGACCATGTAACACCTCCTCCACCTTACTGAATTTGGACCTGTATTCTCTCCTCCACCTTACTGAATCTGACCCTGTATCCTCTCCTCCACCTTACTGAGTCCAACCCTGTATCCCCTCCTCCACCTTACTGAATCTAACCCTGTGTGTATGTGTGTGGGTGCTGTATGTGTGTTGGTGCTGTGTATGTGTGTGGGGGCTGTATGTGTGTGGGGGCTGTGTATGTGTGTGGGTGCTGTATGTGTGTGGGTGCTGTATGTGTGTAGGTGCTGTATGTGTGTAGGTGCTGTGTGTGTGTGCTGTGGAGGAGGAGGTACATTACTTAATATCCCCCCTCCCTTCTTACTTTATGTAGGGAGGGGGGATTCTTGTTCCTTGCTGCCTTCCCTGGTGGTCCAGTGGAGGTTGTGTTAGATCAGTTAATATCCCCCCTACCTTGTTACCTTATGTAGGGAGGGGGGATCCTTGCTGTTGCCTTCCCTGGTGGTCCAGTGGTGAGAGAACTCTAGCTTGCGGGGCTAGAGTTCACTCTCGCGAGATCTGCCAAGAGCTCCCCGGATCCTCTCTTAGGATAGCACCGGCTCTGCATGAGCCGACAGGGGAGATCCTGAGATCTCCCCTGCCTGTCTCAATACATAGGCGTGCCGCGGGGATTAGGGTGTGCTCAGGCACACCCAGCACATCCCGTGCGCACGCCTATGCCCTGTATCCCCTCCTGTATCTTACTGTATCCAACCTTGTATCCCTTCCTCAACCTTACTGAATCCGACTATTGTTATTTTTTAATTATTATTTATAAAGCACCAACAAATTCCGCAGCACTGTATCATGGGTGGACTGACAAACACACAATTGTAACCAGATGACATGGACGCACAGGAACAGAGTTGGTTGAGGGCCCTGTTTAATGAGCTTACATGCTAGAGGGAGTGGGGTATAGTGACACAAAGAGTCTACGAGAGGACTGCAAGTCCCATTCTCTATTACCAAGCAATCCACTTGAACAGAATACTAGATTGATCCGCAACATTTTCCTCCAAGCATTGGATGGATATGGAACAATCTTTTCTTGAGATACCTCTCCGGGCCATCCCTTGGATAATGGCTCAACACCCTACATTTACTATACCACCCCACCCCTCTATTACCCCTATGTTGCAGACATGGAGGGGAATTGCACACCTTAAAGAATTTTCACCAAAAACATCGCCCAAATACCCTATATCTCATAATCCGATGTTCCCTGTGGGACTCCAAGTTGTCCCACAACTTCAAATGAACACTAGGACTCCCATCACGATAGCGCATCTTATGAGCAGGTCTGGCTTAAAATCGTTACAGGAGTTGATGCCTAACAGGCCCGTTACCACCCTCCATAACTACCTATACTCACAAATAACCCACTTTGTATGCTCCTTGGACGTATCTCCTCAGGGTCTTAGGACGGAAACTCAATTCGAACTTCTATGCTCTAGTACTAAGCCAGTACCAAAATCTCTATCTAAATGCCATAAAACATTACAACTGGTGACCAATCCTAAACCGCCGCCATACTCACGCAGATGGAATGATGACATTTTGCCCTCTCTTACAGAAGAGGAATGGTAAAAAATATTTTATAGAACATTTCACTCCCATAGCAGCGTACAACGATTGGAGGCAAACTTTAAACTTATAACACGATGGTATGTGACCCCTGCAGATGTACATCGATACACAAGGGATGCATCCCCCCTATGTTGGAGATGTGGGAAAGACCAAAAGGGTTGAATTTTGTCTCAAAACCACCAAATATGGTGTATATTTGGTGGTTTTGTAACAAAATTCAACCCTTTTGGGAGGCAGTTATTACTTTGATCAGAAAGGTATTGGGTATCACTATACCACAGGATGTGCGGTCCCTACTCTTCCAAAAACTGGAAGGTAATTCTAAACGATATAGGTTCTCAATATTATACTTCATTCTCTCGGCAAGTAAATTAGTCATACCAAACCTATGGAGATGCCCGACAAGCTCAGATGTGCGTACCTTGATTCAGAGGGTGGACCACTTCTAAATGCTCGAGGAGCTGAGATGATCATCCATGGGTCAAATAGACCGATACAGGCACATATGGCAACCCCGGAAAAAATGTATGCAACCAGTCACTTGACATAAAGGGAAGGGAACCCCAGCCACTACGGGGATCCGGGACATCATCCATACAATCTCTGAAACGTGCTCATTTCTGTCGGGGATGATAATATTATTCCTGGTTTCATGACTAACACTTTATACCTCACACTTGTCCCATCTCCTCCTATCACACATATCTCAGGGCATATGAGAGAAGGACTTGGGGATTCTCGAGCGCAACGCTATAATAACACAAGGTGGGAAACAAGGTGGCACTCATGTTTTTTGTTTAACCAAAGTTTATGACTACAATTATTATTTGTTGTATTTATGGTTTATACTCACCACTTCCGCACACAATGGCATGGAGACAACAGAGGACTATTTTATTTTACATGCATATACTCTGTAAGGTGTTACGTAAATGTTTTCCTGGATAATCCTGGATGTAATTTTCCACTCAATGTCTGTACATATCACGTTCTATTTGTATGATACCCAGTCTACCCAAAACCGAATGTGAAAGCATAAATTTTCTGGATGTATCTATTAATCTGCATAAGCCAACTCCAATGTATGTTTTATAGATCATCTTGCATAGCGTTCCTTTGTCATGTCTCAATGCTGTGTTATTTGTCATTGAATAAAAAGATAATACATTAAAATATACAAAAAGTCTACAAGTGCCATCCCTGGTGAGTCAAGTCATTTTTGAGTGATTTGACAAACACCAGGGCATTCCTAGTGCCTAAAGCCTAGCCGCTATTCTGCAGTTTTGTATAACATTCCCGCCCTTGCGTACACAGTATTAGTGGTAAAAGAATACAATAAAGCTTAACAAACGAGAAAAAGAAAAGGGAAAGCAAAGATAGGGAAAGGGAGGAATAAAGTGGTTAAGAAATGTGAATGTTATGATGCATGACTACACAAGAACTACGTATACTAAGCTGTAAACCGGACCCAGCTCGTTAACGCCAAATCATTTCAATTTTGTTTAACGTATTCCTGCATGTATGTGCATAATAATACCTGTGTTGTTTGTACTGAAAAAAAATAAAATAAAAAAAAGAATTAACGGGAACAGAAATTAGTTTTAACTGCGCTGGAATAAAAAAAACAAAAAAACACCATATGTTAACTATGTAAATAACCACAGGGCATTTATATTGCCATTTTTCAGTAGAGAATATGGACTAAAGGATTGACCTGTTGTCCCCCCTTCCCAGTTTATTTTTTTTTCAATTTGACAATTTTTATTTTTCAAAGTGAATGGGGGGTACAGAATGAAAAAAGGGGGAGGGGATAGAGTCAGATATACAATCAAATATCCAATACAGTTATACAATACAGTTACTATATGTAGCCTGTGCTAGTTTGCGTTTCTTGTGTGCAAAATTACCGTATTCCTAGTGAGTGATATTATTTCTGGTGTGCGGTGATGCTATTGGTCAATCATTGCATAACACAGAGGCTTTAACAAGAGTATATATATACGTTAAGTATTTTACTATGAATGCTGCGGATGCTTTGGCTGTGGACGCATAGGGCTACCAATGCGACTTATGCGGAGATAGGCGTGTGTATGTACTAGACATTATTCTATGCTCTGTTCCCTATAACCATTATTTCATAGTCAGCCGGGTACTTTGCCCAACTGAGTAGAACCTAGGCTCTTGTTTTGCTTCCTATTTCTGTATTGCATTGTTTGCACATACTCGACTCTGTCAGGGTGAGGGGTGGAGGGGGGAGGGTGTGGTGCGGGGGTCTCTCAGAGGTGGTATTCTCTTGCACTATGGGGAGAATGGTTCACGTTGGGGGAAAGTCAGTGTGCTGTTTCATGGGGTGTCATTTTGTGTGGGCGTGGGTAGACACTCTTTAGGTACGGCTTGTGTTGTGTGGTTGGACAGGAAATCCGTCCACATGACATGGGCTTGTTTCAAGTGTTTTTTAGTGCCAAATTGGTTCGCAAATGCTGTTTCATAGACCCAGTTGAGTGTCACTTGCTGTATAAGGAGTTCCCTGGTTGGGATTGCTACCTGTTTCCAAAACCTTGCGATAAGTGTCGCCGCTGATATTAATACGTGATACATGGCTGTCCACGTGGCCTTGGCAGTCCCGTCTGGGGGGATGAATAAAATGCAAAGTTCTAGGGTGAGGGTCACCTGAGTACGTACAATGTTTGATATGACATTTTGGACTTCGTGCCAGAAGGGTTTGATATTTTCACATGTCCACCAAACGTGTGTCATAGTACCCCTTTGGTGTCCGCACCTCCAACATTTGTCTGTGGATTGCGGCCACATGTGGTGGATTCTGGCTGGAACTAGGTACCAACGGTACAGCAGTTTGCGCTGTAGCTCCAGATGGGTGGCACAGGAAGTTATTCCCCTATGTGAGGTGTATGCCTTGTCCCATTTGTCCTTTGTTATGGATCTACCTAGTTCTGAATGCCAGGATTGTATATGTGTGTCTTTGGTTGTGTCTGCCTTCTGTAATAGTAGGCTGTAGTTTATGGATATTAGTTTTTTTAGCAGTTTTCTGTGCGTGCACAGAAGTTCAAATTCAGATAGGTGCTCTCGGGCGTTAGCGTTGTTGGCGTTGGGTTTGTTCTGAGATAGGCATGATTTGATCTGCAAGTAAGGGAAAATCAGTCTGGAGGAAAGATTGTACTCCCTCTGAATGTCTGGGAATGGACGGAGTTTGCCTCCCTCATACAGCTGTCCCACTTCAGTTATCCCCCCTTGTTGCCATGGTTTTTTGTCCCATGTTGGTATTAGGGTGGCCAGGACTTCTAGCGGGGTAGCTAGAGGCACAGGGAGGTAATGAACTAGGTGGTGCCTGGAGGCGTCCCAGTGGTGCAGTATGTGTTGCGTTGTGGGTAGTAGATGCGTGGTGTCCTGTCTGTGGGGCTTTGGGGTCCAGAACAACATTTGCAGCGTTGAAGGTGCTGCCCAGTGGTTTTCTATATGGAGCCACTGTGGTGACGTTGGTTGTGGTCTTAGTTGCGGCACTATTGTTAGTGCCGCCGCTTTGTAGTATGCAGTTATGTCAGGGAGACCTAACCCACCCTGTTTTTGGTGCCTTTGTAGGAGTTTCGTCGCAACCCTAGGCTTCTTATTACTCCATGTGAAGGCTGTTAGTTGTTGCGAAAGTGATTTCAGGAAGGTTCCTGGGACGGGGATTTGCAGTGTTCTATATAGATATTGCAGTTTCGGTAATAGGGACATTTTGATGGCCGCTATGCGGCCCACCCAAGACAAGTATTTCCCCTCCCATGACTGTAGTGTGTTTTTTAGGGTGTTAGCTAGGGGTATGTAGTTGGTTTTGAACAGTGTGGCGGGGTTTTTTGTCATTTTCACTCCTAGAAAGGTTAGGTAGTGATCCCTCCAATCTAGGGGGAACGAATCCTTAAGGAGCGCCATATGTTTGTTGGGTATGTTGATCCCCAATGCTTGTGTCTTAGAGACGTTTAGTTTGTAGTAGGATAGGAGGCCATATGTTGTGATGTGTTTCATTAGGTTTGGCAGGGATATTAGTGGTTGCGTCAATGTAAGAAAGACATCGTCAGCGAATATACTCAATTTATATTCCCGTTGGTGCAGGGCTACTCCGTGTATGGATGCATCTGCCCGTATTCTAGCTGCTAGGGGTTCTAGTGCTAGGACGTAGAGTAGTGGGGATAAGGGACACCCCTGTCTAGAACCATTGGTGATTGTGAACTTGTCAGAACAAAATCCCGCGTTTAACACTTTTGCTGTTGGGCAGCTGTATAAGGCCTCCACTATGTTGATAAAATGGCTAGGGAAGCATATTCTCATCAAGACTCTTTTCAGGAATCCCCAGTTTAATCTGTCGAAGGCCTTCTCTGCATCTAAGGACACGAGAAGGCCTCCCACGTTCGACCTCCGTATGGAGTGTATGAGGTTCAGTACTTTCCGGGTGTTATCTGCCCCTTGCCTCCCTGCTACGAACCCTACTTGGTCGTCGTGTATCAGGGAGGGAAGGATGGTGCCCAGCCTCTTGGCATAGACTTTCGCTAATAATTTGGCATCTGTGTTAAGTAGCGATATGGGTCTGAAGTTGGGGCAGTGTGTTGGGGGTTTACCTGGTTTCAGGAGCGTTATAATATGTGCTAACAACAGCTCCTCAGGGAGCTTTTTCTCCTGGACAGCTGAGTTGAATAGCTGGGCTAGGGGGTTTGCAAGGGTTGATTTGAATTTTTTGTAATACAGATTTGTGAACCCGTCTGGGCCCGGGGCTTTGTTGGTGGGAAGGGATTGTATGGCTTCCTCTACTTCTGTGTTTGTGACTGGCTGCTGTAGTGTGGCCACCTGGTCTGCGGTGAGGGTCTGTAGTGGAGTGTCTTGAAGATAGGTTGTGATTTCCTGGTTGTTCGGTACCTGCAGTTGGTTTGAGTGTGTTAGGTTATACAGTTGCTGGTAGTAGTTTGCAAACGCATTGCTTATTTCTATGGGGGATACAACCTTTGTGTTGTTGGCTGTGTATACATATGGTATTTTGGCGTTTGTCTCTACTTTCTTCAGCTTAGTTGCTAGTATTCTACTGGCTCTGTTGCCCTGGGTGTAGTGTGTGGCTTTTAGTTTTCGGAGGTTGTATCCGACTTGTTGCAGAGTGTGTGTTTTGATTTTTTCCGATATGTCCTTAATTCTTTGTTGTGTGTCCGCAGTTGGTTGGGTTTTGTTTTTGTGTGTGAGGTCTGACAGCTGTTTGTGCCAGGCTATCCAGCTGGCTCGCCGTGTTTTTTGCGTGTGAGAGGCCTGCTTGATGAGGAGCCCTCTGATTACAGACTTGTGTGCCTGCCATGTAGTGCTAATAGAGGTGTCTTCTGGTTTGTTCAGAGTGAAAAAGTCGTCGATGGCCTTCTGTATTGTGTCCGTAAAGGAGTTGTCTGTTAGTAGGGACTCGTTAAGTCTCCAGGGGCTTTTGTGTTTATAGTCATAGCTATCCTTAAGGGTTAGGGTTTGAGGGGCGTGGTCCGACCACGAGATGGCGCCTATAGAACATTCCAGCACTTGGTCTAGGTGACGGCCCTCAATATGGAACCTGTCTATTCTAGTGTATGTGTTGTGTGCGGCGGAGAAATATGTGTAGTCTTTGTCTTGTGGGTGTAGGACTCTCCACACATCATACAGCCCCCGTTCCTCTAGTAGTTTTAGGTGGTTCGTGCAGGCTGTCTGCTGTCTGGAGCTTGTCGTGTGGGGGGTTTGGGTCGTAGTATCCATGTTAGGATCTAGGATGTGGTTGAAGTCCCCGCACAAAACCAGTATTCCTTCTTGTGGTGGGCGAAGGAGAGACAGGATTCTGTGTAGGAAGTTCCTTTGGTTTGTGTTTGGGGCATATGCGTTGGCAATCGTGTATTTGTTATTGTTGATCGTGCACCCTAGTATGAGGTAGCGGCCCTCCGGGTCTGTTCTCAGAGAGTGGTATTGGAAGGAGACCTGGCTGCTAATTAGTATTGATACGCCCTTAGTTTTGTGTCCTGATGTGGCATGATACTGGTGTGGGAATTGTGACGGTTTGATTTGTGGTGTTGTCTTGAAATGTGTTTCTTGGAGGCACAGTACGTCTGGTTGTGTCTGTTTAAAATCCCTAAGTAAACAGTGTCGTTTATATGGGGTGTTTAGTCCCCTAACATTGTGGCTTTGTATTTTCATACAGTTGATGGGGTTGGTGTCTGTCTGTTATTATTGTGGATTCGGCCTCTAGTGTACGTGCCCTTTGGGTCGTCTCCGTGGGTGTTTTTACGTGTCTTTCCCTTTGGTCTGGGTGGTTTTTCCCCCTCAGGGTCTGAGCGTTCACGGAAGGTAAGTCTTTCCTTAGGCTTTTGGTAAGATACTCTAAATACTCCCTGCAGTGCTCGCAAGTTATAGTACTCTCTTCCAGAGAGGTTGGGGGGGGGGGGTAGGAGAAGGGGGGGAATAGGGGAAACCGTGCCGTGAGTGGACGGTTAACAAGAAGAACTGTAGTAAAGCCCGGTTTGGGGCTACGTAACTGTACAGTAGTACCATGTGGGAGCGTGGTACTTAAGAGTTTGGATAACATAGGTAACCCGGCCTAATTGTCGCTGTGACCACATGCTCAGTGTGAGTGGTGCTTGACCCCTTCTTAGCCCGGTGTCTCTGGGCATCTATTTGGGTTCTGGGGGCCGTTTGCGACATCATATAGCCTTAACCTTTCCCTGCTCTTAACAATATTCAACATAAAAAACTGTAACATTAACAGTGGGTTCTGCCGACTCATTTCTCCAGCCGGAGCTTTAGTGTGTGTAAGCCAATGAAGTGTGGGCATTTGAGTTCCGCTATCGCGGGTACATAGTGGTGTATGTCAGCGTGTGTGAGTGTGTGGGCGGTGTGTGGTTTGTGTATGGGGTATCACCCCAATAGACTTACAACGGTTGGTCTGCATGTCTCCTGTTAAAGTTCTGCATGTGGCGTTGCACCATCATAGTCCATGGTTGGTGCTGCAATTCCAACACGTTGCGTTGGCTAAAAGTTCGTGTTGGGTAGAGACCGATTAGGCCGTAACTCGTTGGGTGGAGGTTGGTGTAGTGAGACTGAGGTAAACTTCTCCCGGTTCGGGCGGCCTCTTCCTCGCTCAGGTGCGTGCTTTCTTCCATTCAGGCTGGATTCTGGTGGGTTGTGTCTTGCTGTTTCCTTGTGGTTGCGTTTGGATACCCCATCTTTTCAGGGTTTTCCTTCCCTCGTCTGGGGTGGTGATGGTGTGGATTGCCCCATTCCTGTGCACCAGTAAGCGAACCGGGTGGCCCCAGCGGTATTGTACCCCCTGTTGTCGCAGAGCATCAGTGACCTCTTTAAACTCTCTCCTCTTCTGCAGGGTGAGAGCGGAAAGGTCTGTGTAGATTTGTATTGCTTGGTATTTCTCAGGGAGGTGTTTGTTCTGTCTGGAGGCTTTCATCAGAGCCTCTTTAGCATGGAAATAATGCATGTGGGTGAGAATGTCTCTGGGGGCTTCCTCCGGTAAAAATTTCGGTTTGGCGACTCTGTGTGCCCTGTCCATAAGTAGGACATCTGCGGGTAAGTCAGGAGCCAGGATTTTGAAATACTCCGTGAGATACTCTGTTATTTCTGGTTGTTTCACCGATTCAGGGATGCCTCTCAGGCGTATGTTCTGCCTTCTGGACCTGTCTTCGAGATCCATAAGTTTTGTTTGGCAGGTTTCCAGCGTGTGTTCTATTCTTTGGACGTGATCCGCCATGTCATTGTGGGCCTCCGCATATTCCCCCATGCGGTGTTCCATGCGGGCTGTCCGCTCTCCTAGTTCCTGGACATCCTTTCGTAGGTCAGCTATGGAGCTGTTAAAGCTTTTAAGCAATTTGGATGCCATCTCCTCCAGGCACGTTTGTAGAATTGCCTGTGTTACTGGCTGGTCTCTGGAGCCTGGGGAGTCCTGCAGCGGGATGGTGTCGTCGCCATCTTGCTCCTCCTCGACGGGGATCAGGGTTTTAGGTGTCTGATTGCGGGCTGCAAAGAACCCGGGTTTGTCCCCTTTCTCGCAGGGCTTCTTCCCCTTATGTTGGGCCATCGTGGGGCTATGTTTGTGAGGGGTTTGCTGGTCTGGGTCGCTGTGATAGTCGCTGATTTAGGCCGGTTTTGGACGGAGCGTTACTCACATGCGACCGTCCGCGCCATTAGTCAGGCCACGCCCCCCCCCCTTCCCAGTTTAAATAGTCAAAACTTTTTCAAATGGTTTGACTTCTTACCTGATTCCGCCAGGTGTAGCTTCTTACCTTCAATACCACCAAAGAGCTATAATCTATCTGCCTGAGCTAAGCTCGGCAGTGCAGGGCTCAGTTCACTGGCTGAGGGTGATCAGCTGACACTCTAAGCCAATGGGCTAGCCATGAACTACAGGTGACAGTTCGGGGGAGATAGCGGATGTTCCTCTTTGGTGGTCGTAGTACAAGTAGGAAGCAGGGAGATCCTCACACCATAACTACTACCTAGTGCTGTTGGGGTTATGGTACTTGGAGTGTTAACTCTTACCTGGTGGACATTTTTATAAAATATAAGTTCATGTCAATTAAAAGTATTCAAGTCAACGTCAATGAGGACCAACATTTTTTGCTATAGGTTAATCAATCAATTATATAGTTAATCATTATCAATTATAAAATTCCTATTACCTTCTGACCGAAATTTAACTGGCATCATGGGAAATGTACGTGTAATATGCCAAAGACGAGCCATCAATGATGCTCAACATAGGTAATAGCTAAAAATGTCTGATCGTGCATCTCTTGTTTTCTCACATAGCTAATGTACGGCTGTAATTAACATACTTGATAATAGATCCTAGAAATACCCTCAGGCCTTCAGCGAGAAGGACTTTCATCAAATGCTACGAAGTCAAATACATGGCTTCCACGAAGATTACAAAAATCAAATATCCAAAAAACTAATAATAATAAATACATATCTGCTATTCAGATTTTAGTCTGTGCCAGAACTCTATTTACTATAAAATAGGAAGATGTCCTTAGCGCCTTTTTTAAAAAAAAAATAATGATTCTTTTGTGGGAGGGAGATGCGAGTGGTTACATTAGCTTCGCCCAAACTCTGTATTTATCATTTTAAAGCAACATGACGTTTAAATTATAATTATAATATATGACGTTTAAATTATAATTATAATATAACTGCAATAGAAATGTCCTTTGATTTTTGACAAAATGTGGCACAAGGTTGACAACTTGGATGCATTAATGTTTTTTTTAAAGTGTGAATTATTTGGAATTCAAAATGTATTCACAGTGAATTTCAAATTTCCTAAAACAGCCCAACTGAAAAGAAAGCCGATTTGGAGAATTTTTACACCTCAGCTATTGTGTCCTAAAACCTGAGCTTCACTTTGAATTACCAACAATTCACACCTATTCACTAAACACCAAAGGCTTATTTACTAAAGTGTGAATTGTTCGGAATGCAGAATGGATTCAAAGTTATTTTAAATGTTAGGAGAAAATAGTCAAACTGAGACCATTTTCCACGTCTACTACATCTTCAGCTATTTTGGGCTAAAATTTTACATTCATTTTGACTGTCAAAAATATTTATGGCTAAGTGAATAACTCTACAAACTCCAGTGAATTCAAAATCAAATTGCAAAATTTGGACTTAAGAAGCCAAGATGTGTTGTTGTCAAATTATTTTCTCTGACTGAGAAAATGAGTATGAAATACCTGTTATTGGCTGTCGCAACAGCAGTGTGTGTTGTCTCCGCCCTATGCATACTATATATATTTTTTGCTTGTTAAATTACAGGAGTCCTGTAGATTGTGGGCCATGAAGACCCTGAACTAGAACAAATTTTTTCCAGTGTACAGTAAAACATAAAGTTCTACTGTTAGATAACGGTTTATCAGATTTTGTCTCTAAGACAGATAGTAACAAACTAGTGCGCTGTTTCCTCCTAATGTTTTTTAAGAAGTGAAAATGTAAAGTTCTCTCCCTTACTCCTAAATCCTACGACCTTCGTATTTAATGTGTATTTTCTGTTCAAGATATGTTTCCTGCTTTATCTTCCCACCTCCCAATTCATCAAAGCGTGGAATAATGTTTTTTGCTAAACCTGGCGTCAGCCGGTGCGTTTGCAATGATAACTCACATTTGGTCGAACATGTGGCCAGACTATACATGTAAAAGTTGTTGGAAAAAAAACTTGTTCAGATGCAAAGAGCACTAAAATTCAGACATTAAGTTATTTTGATGAAGCATGTATTCATATCCATTATTGAGTTTTGTAGTAATTGTCTCGAGTAGGAATCTGTGAACTTCTCTTTGGGCACAGAAACACGAGAAATCACATTTCCACAACTATCCCAGAATTACCAGTGAGACATGCAAATGAGCACAGACAGGCAATATGTTTTAGACTTCACCGTACCTTAGCAATGGACACTGTTTTAAACTTAGCTTTTCTTAAAACCAAAGTACTGTTTGTGATCCAGCAGGTCAACCTCCCAGAAAGAAGCCATGGTGTGCACAGTTCTGACTTTTTGGGACTTCACGAGCATGTATATCTGGCACGGAATAATTGTCTCTAACGTCTCTATGGAGGAGAACGCAGAAGGAATAACCTGTCAATTTTAAGCAAGGGTTCCAAATTAGGAAGGTTACTTTGTGTCCATGAGCGTTGGCCAGTATAAACTGTTCATCGTCTTTCCTGCATCTCACAAGGCCTTGTTGCCATCAATGTCAGGCTCCCGCGGGCGGCTGCGAGGGGAGGCTGCACTCCGCTCGCAGTACTCACCCTCCAGCCGTCCGCGGTCCCCTCCGCCTCGTGGATACGGCGAGCGGCATCCTTCCAGCCTCGGATGCCGCCCGCCGTTCCCTCCACGTCCCCCAGCGGCAGCATGCATGACGCTGCACGCTGGGAGACCGCCCAGGTTTATACACGCCGGGGTCAGTCACCTGACCCGGCGTTAAAGGCACAGTGCCTCAATCACAGTGGGAGGTCTAAATATCTCCCACGTGTGATTGTTAATTCTGATTGGAAATTATCCAATCAGAATTAACCTGATGGTTTAAATACTTACCTTTCCTGTTCCTCCCTGCCCTGTTGTGGTCTTTGCTTGCTAGTATTGCTACTTACCTTGTGCTTCTGGTTACGTACTCTCTGGCTTGTTTATCTGACTCTGTGACTTTCTCCTACCCTTTGACCTCGGCTCGTTTCACGTTATTCTGTCTTCTGGTTCCCCTTTACTCGGCTTGTCTCCTGACTATTCTGTGTGTACTTAGCCCGGCCACTCTAAGGTCCGGTACGGCACCTTTTGTGTGTGTGTGTGTGTGCCAGCGTGTTGGGTTCCCCGAATCGTGACAATCAACACAAGAATACACCATAAAGAGGTGTCACATAGCTCATTGATTCAGGCAGCAAACATAGCTATCTTCCTTCTTTCACTTTTGTGTCCAGCCTTGCCCTACAAACGTAGCGTCCAATACTCATTATGGTCCATGTATTTTGACAACAGACAGAGGGCAAAGGCCTTGACTTCCGTGCTCTATTGTAATCTGACAGAAACAGCAAGGCTTCAAGCTCTGTCTCAATGTCTTCATGACAAACATAATATTGCAAAGAAATGTATTTAATTGGGATAGAAAAATACAGACAATACTCGCTCTGTAAACTTCCCTTGTTTGCGTATATTGTATCTTCCGCTTGAATGTGGTGAAATAATTAAATGAGTATTCAATATAATAATGTCATTGAAACATATAATGATATTTTTGCATACACAGAGGAATTACCTGCACAAGTAGTTTTTTTTCTTTTGAATAACTGGGATTTTATTCTCTAAAACTAGGTATTGTGTAGAATTGACAAGAAAATTGCAAATCGAAGTCTAAAACAGGAAATTCAGAATTTTTTTTTTTTAAATCAATTCAGCTATTTAATCTAAAACCTGCCGTTAACTTGTCAATTCTCCACAATTCCTGGTATCATAAATAGATTTCACTGGTTTAGCCATTATTTTTGTACATTTTATTAATGCTGCTTAATCTAAATTAAAGTTATAGAGTTTGGTCTTTAGACTTACAAAAGGTCCATACACCTCCCAGCATTTCGAGTGGACGACGAAGGACACTTTTCTTTCAGGGGTGTGTGCGGATGTGGCCAGGTACTGGGCTGTTCTGAGAATTTTCAGGCAATTTACCAATGACCATTTATGCAACTAAAATGTAACCAAAACAATGTATCTTATTTACAGACTGACTTCTAAACACATTTATTGTAGTTTAAAGACACATTACTGGGAGTGTTATTGCTGTGGAGTTCAGTTATAAACTCAGATACACACAAAATATGGGGCTGGATAGAAAATAGGGACAGAGGGGTTTGGGACCAAAATAGGGACTGTCCCTTCTAAATAGGGACACTTGGACGTTATATGATTAATTAAACTACATCTGCCAACATTGACCCAGCATTGACAAGAAAGCTCACGCTGACCACAGACACACATGTAAAATAATAAAATAATTTTATATACAATACATCTAAGTACACATGTTAATAGAGAGAGTGATGATAATATTTACACACATTCATATACATGCACACACACACACACAAATGTAAATATATATATTTTTTATACTTACACGTACAGTTCATGCACATAGATTTATACATACCCACGGTGCTTTTATCTATTTATATCACAAATGCTCTTTATGTGTCGAAACTATGGTGACCAGACATCCTCTGTTAACGCAGGAAGCTTTTTAAACATTCATTCTGCAAGGCTGCAATAAAATTGTAACTTGCCCTGATTTCATTAAGCAGCTGCATCCTGCAATAAATGCATTAAAGGAAACATAGAGCTAAATCACACATTGCTATTAAGTCAAATATTACAGTATTTCATCCTCAGGTTAGTATGTAACGGTTTACAGTTACAGAAGGAAATTAAGCTATTTGAAGAAATACATCTGCTATGTACATACCTGGGGACTCGACGGTGTGCATTCACTACAAACACTTTTCTTCAACTCCACTATTTAATTATTTATCAAGACTGGGTTTTAAAACTCATTTAATGCTGAAATTTGGGTTATTCTTTACTTTATCAAGGAGGTTTATTCGGTTTACTGACCAAATAGGTAACACAGGTTTTAAATTTTAGGCAAAATCAACCAATTGAAAAAAATAAAATCTATCTTACTTATGTTTTTAATTCAACAATTTTACTCTAAAATCCACAACACCCAGTTTATTGAATAAAGCTGAAGTTATTATACTTTTAAAAAATATTTTACTAGCTTCTTTATATTGAAAGTTTAAAGTGTCTCGGTCACTTCTTTCCTAAAATCTTTATAAAATACTTATATTGTGTGCACTGGAAATGTAAATACTACTTAGTCATTTTGTAAAGTCCAAAGTTCACAAAATATGACAAAATGCAGGGCTTCTGTGTCATTGTTGTTGTCTTGTATCAGCAGATGCCATCAGTAACAGCTACGGGAAGAGGCATCTTCTTGTGTATTACACGCAAAGTTCTGTGGTTGCTAATACATTTACAAAAAAAAAAAAAGTTGCAACAATTGAATAAGCACAATACGGCAGCAGATAAACACTCTCAGATTAGGAAGAGGCTCCACCAATCAGGAGCCTCTGTTTCAGGTCTACGAGGTCTGATCCTGGTCGCTTTGTAATTCCGCCCCAGCCACAGTTCCTATAATTGAGTGAGTGGGACTGCTCAATAGAGAAGAAGTAAGCATTTCTCTTTTGACATCAGGTGGAAAGGGGCAGTCTGATAGCAGTGATATCTGCTAATTTTTTTAAGCCACTGTGTGCAGGGACTGTCTCAGAATGGAAGAGGACTCTCCTTTCAACATATCTTATGCAATGAGCATCCATTGTCGCAGTGCTTAGAGTGTCCCTTCAACAAAATTAAATATATCTCTAGTTGAGACTGTGTGCATGTCTACATATAAACACATCTGTTGCGTAAATAAAAGTGTGAGTTAATACATACAACAAATATGCTTTGTGTTGTTACTGCATACTTACAGTATATACTAAAACATGCGTGTTCCAGTCTCATGAACTTGCAGGCTTGGAACACGGAATCAGTTGAGATCAAAGAAATCTCTACTTGGAATTATTATTATTATTATTTTTTTAATGTAATGTAGAATATCTGCAAAAGCCAGCTGGGAATTGATGGATGTAAAGTGGGTATGAGAAGGATACCAGTTTGGGTCCCTCTTCTCTCTTATTATTGGATTGGCGAATAGTTAGATCAAGTATTTTCCCGGCTGCGGGGTCTTGCACGGTCTAATCTTTGGGTACCAGGTGGCCGCTTTAGGTCACTTCGTGGTTAATCTGGCTATTGGTACAATAACTATTTGTTCCTCATTGATGGAATCTAGGCTTTTTGGAAAAAGGCCCCATTAACCTACTCTTCCTGCATCCTTGACATTAACGTCTACAAACCCAACCTTACTAGCAACATCTTCTCTAGGTCCTCAGAATCCCACCTTCCTGAGGGACAGATTTTATGAACACAACTTTCCTGCATCTCTGATCTCCTTCTCTGTCCCCTCAAAGTCTCCCATCTACCATTTGAATATTTGTTTATCCAGCTTTGGAATGACAGTGATAGGCTGTGAGTGCTCTGGTCAGTGTCTCTTTAACATATCTGCATATCTCACAGCCATCCTGATTTCAAACCTATTTCCCACCAGGTTGAATCTTGACGCCAGACAAAAAGTAGAAAAAAGGTGCAGCAGAAATATGAACGTTTCCGCAGGTGTTCCCTTAGAAGATTGTCCCATACCTCCTAACTTTAGCAGACTTCAAAACCGTGACGCAAAAGGCGTGGCTTGCAAAGGGGACATGTCCCGTTAGCAGGCCTGTACTGGAATGATAGTTACCAGCCAGCCAGATTGGCTCTGGAAAGGTTCTCTGCTGTCACTTTAAAAATACACTTATTGTTCAAAACTATTTTCATTAAAACAAAAAAACAAAAAATGAGATCACTCTCAAAATATTTAGAAATGTCCCTCTTGCCGTTCTTTCAGAAGCATATTAACGTTTTTTTATTCATTGCTTACAGAGTACAAACAAATATTTCTCTGTAATCCACATTGGATTTATTGGATTCATAAACTTTGATCTAATTGGCATTCTGACTACTTAAAGGACATTTTTTCACCAGATGCACCAGAGGACTTATAGCAGCTATACATTTGCCAATATATATATTATACACTTAGTGAACAGATTGGGAGTAATTTGTCAAATTATCTATTAAGAAACATGTTGCAACAACAAGGTTAAAGTTGTCTAAATAAAAAAATAAAAAAGTTGAATTGAAGAGATTTTCAGTTTTCCGTTCTCCATAAGTCACTGTTTAGGGAATAAACCATGTACAGATTATCCATCAAACTGGAGATAAGTGGAACACTTATAAAGGCTGTTTATATATGTTTTTTTTCTGGCACATAACTCAATAAAGCCCCAAAGCTTGCACTCTTTTATAATTATGCTACATTCAGATTGGCATCTCCCATGCCAGCCAATAAAACTGATTGATCAGTGTGTTCCTAGATGTGTTATTTAATTATTTCAATTGGAAGGCTATTCCAAATGTCTTTTCTGTAAAGTAGTATTTGGTTAAAGGGACCCTCCAGACCCCCTAAAGCACTTTAACTTGTTTAAAAGTTTTATAAAGTTGCAAAACGTGC